CAGAAAACAGCAAAGATTAAAAGATAATCTCACTGAGGGTTTTTTCCACACTGCAACTTTGCAGCGCGTCGTGTCATTTTATTACGTCAACATAAAAATATGTGATGGGCTACTCATCACAGAACACGTACCGGTAGTTAAAAAGACATTAACATTTATATTGTCACCAGTGGGGATCTCAGCAAAAATATCACTCGCACTCTCGCAAATTAATATTTTCAGTCTGGAGCCCTGAATGCTATTGTAATATAACTGAACTTTGAAATATCTTTTAAAACAAATCTATTAAAATCAAATTAAAACAAAAAATGGACCTCAAAATGCTTATAAGAAAAATAAAGAAAATAAATAAAGAAAATAAAATCAAAACATAGACACATAATGAAATAATTAAATTTAAAGAAAAAATAAATTAATATATTTAGAAAGAACTCCGGGAAAAAAAGGAAAAAGAAAAACACTCAATAAAATAGAATGCTAAAAGAGAAAAATAAATAAGAACAAATAAGAAAAAACAAAAACAGGACTTCTCCATAAACTTCCCAGATAAAAACTCAAACTTACAGCCGGTTGATGTTGTCCTGGTACATAAAGCCGCTTTGCAGCAGTATTTGTATTCCATCGTGTGCAGACACGCATTCTGTGGAGCTGCTTAAAGCAGTCGCCAGACCACCTAAAGTCATCCTTTACGCCGGACAGTGGTGAGGCAACCCTCACTAGAGCTTTCCAATCCTTCTACCACATGCTGAAGAAACCATTAAAACACACCGACAACTACTAGGTTCTTCAGAGCTTTAGAGAGACTGAAAAAATAATAATCGTATTCAGAGAAAATTTAGCAAGTCATTCTTAGAAGCATTCCTTGATGTGTAGTCTCTCTCAGTTCGCATCTCTAGTGTATCCATCTGCTCCTCGAGTAAACATGCAGACACTGAGACGGTGGGCGGAGTCAGAACACGTGCTCCAGTCTGGTGGACAGAAGACTCCTTATCAACCGACACACATAAGCTGGATTCATTCAGAGCCTTCTGGAAATGGATTCTAATCATCTTTTAAAGCCACAAGTCTTTTGCATGTAATAATAATCTGCCAAATGACTATTAATGAGGCTATAACTATTTTAGAAGTTGATACGTCCTGTGATAAACCAAAAATGAACTGATGAAACCATAAAATCTAGACGGTGTACATACAGATCTGGATTAGAGTAAATAAATACATGAGACTAGGAACTATGGCTTGTAATGATCTCAAACAAAGCTATACAATAGGAGGAAGCTACAATAAAAGTGAGGAAATTCCGATAAGTGCTTATAAATAAACTATGAGATGAATATGAGCGTGCTACAGCAGTGTTCGGTCGAGGCTGTGCTATCTTCTGGTAAAAAGGGAAAGATGATGGAATTTCCTTTTGGTAATCATGGCAATCATGAGAGCCCGTGGTAGGGGAAAGGATAGGTCTTTTCCCATGGGTCGCACTCGCTCTTTGTCCTACCCAGTTTCCCTTGTTGTGACTGACTGAGCTAATGAAATCCTAAACCAAAGGTGAAACACTAGGCCTGTGTAAACATTTAGGTTGCCTGTCATGTGACAGTGTGCTATGACAATGTATTTAAAGCAGTCCAGGTCGCTAGGGCCATCAAAACACAAATACCGCTCTTATCAGTGAAACTTATATAAACTGTGAACATCACTAGCAAAGCATTGTTTGCTGTCCATTCTAGTGCAGCATTTACTACACAGTTCTGCTATGAATTTTGATCACAGAATATAGTTGATAGTTTTGCCGCAAGAAATTCTAAGCTAATACACATTTTTATCATCATAATTTTTTATCAAGAGCGAAATTGACACCGGATGCGAATAGCACGTCAAATTCACGCCTACTACGTCTAGTTATACGCTTGACCACTTTGAATCCATTCGCGCGTCAAGAGCGAAATTGACGCGCGTAAATTTCACTTCAAACTTTTATTTTGTTTGAAAAAAATTTAAACAAATTCTAAGCTAATACACATTTTTATCATCATAATTTTTTATCAAGAGCGAAATTGACACCGGATGCGAATAGCACGTCAAATTCACGCCTACTACGTCTAGTTATACGCTTGACCACTTTGAATCCATTCGCGCGTCAAGAGCGAAATTGACGCGCGTAAATTTCACTTCAAACTTTTATTTTGTTTGAAAAAAATTTAAACAAATTCTAAGCTAATACACATTTTTATCATCATAATTTTTTATCAAGAGCGAAATTGACACCGGATGCGAATAGCACGTCAAATTCGCGGCTACTACGTATAGTTATACGCTTGACCACTTTGAATCCATTCGCGCGTCAAGAGCGAAATTGACGCGCGTAAATTTCACTTCAAACTTTTATTTTGTTTGAAAAAAATGTAAACAAATTCTAAGCTAATACACATTTTTATCATCATAATTTTTTATCAAGAGCGAAATTGACACCGGATGCGAATAGCACGTCAAATTCGCGCCTACTACGTCTAGTTATAAGCTTGACCACTTTGAATCCATTTGCGCGTCAAGAGCGAAATTGACGTGTGTAAATTTCGCTTCAAACTTTTGTTTTGTTTGAAAAAAACAAAACAAAAAATTCTAAGCTAATAAACATTTTTATCATCATTTTTATCAAGAGCGAAATTGATGCACGTAAATTTCGCTTCAAACTTTTGGGGGTTTTTTGCGCGTCAATTTCGCTCTTGATAAAAATGATAAGAATGTGTATTAGCTTCGAATTTTTTGTTTTGTTTTTTTTCAAATGGATTCAAAGTGGTTAAGCGTATAACTAGACGTAGTAGGCACGAATTTGACGTGCTATTCGCATCCGGTGTGAACGTAGCATTATAATGTATATTTATGCTTGCATTTAATGTATTTGGTCTTTTTTACTGTCTGTTGTTTCCTTTAATAATGTTTGAACTTTATTCAAAGTTAAGCTAGTAGTTTTGCTGTGGTATTTAAGTAAGTGTGCATTAAGCAATAAATGGGACGTCACATTTTCCACTCCCAAATTCTCACTATTTTTTTTTGCTGATCCAAATGCATGCAGCCCCATTCTTCATAAATCAGACTATATTAGCCTAAGTACCTCCAGACAAAACAATATTTCTAAATGCCTTCTAAAAATCTACTGACATTAACTGAAATAATAATGTTAATGAGCCAACAACACAAAAATGTATAATTAACTCTAGTGGTTTTGGCTTCAGAAAGAAAAATACCAATTAATGCACATCAATTACATACAATTTATTCTGCTGCTATATGAAGTAGTAAAAATGATATATGTATAACTGATTTGATATTCTACTGTGGAGTTGACAATGAAAGAAATGGGAAATACTGCAGGACGCAGAAGTTTCAAATCAACAATGATTAACGGAAACCCGAGTGCAGACACAACTGGCTTAACTTGCTTGTTTAGTGTGTATGAGCAAACATCATGTTTTCAAAAAATGACTGTCAAACTTAACTTGACGATATCACTATGATGTCACTGCTATCATGGTAATAATGTCCATAGAAATCAGAGATGCAGATGTCAATCTACATTATACAGTGTATATGTGTGTGTGTGTTATTAAAGGTCTGATATCTGATGGCATATTCAATGACAATGATATATGAGAACTTTCCATCTCATTTGATACTCTCTCAAAAAAATGGAAGTGGAAGTAAACTCTTAATCTCTTAATAGTCATCATTTAGGGATGTCTGATTAAAATGTCACCAGTTTGCAACAGGAAAACGATATGATATGTGCATGAGACAAGGGCAAGTTAGTTAAGGACAGTGTGCTATTGATTTCAGACACGGCTCTAAAGATCTGAGATATCATAGATAGAGCTTATAATATCTGTGTAGAAAATTACCTTGTAACATTGTTTCAACTTTTCATTATGAAAGTGAGAGCTGTTTTTACTCTGAGGCAATCTATTAAATCAATGTATTGCCATTATATCACGAATTAGGAGTAATTTGAAAGAATTTATGAAGGTCCTTATTTTTGTGTGACTGTGTAATGGACAACTTTTGTGACATGAAAGCGAGCCTTTTGTAACATCTTCACATGGGTACCTCACAGATCTATCAATCTATCTAGAGATTCAATTGTCATTCCATTTAAAACTGTATTAAAAACTACTGGATTAATATAAAGCATACATCAAGCAGTATGTGCATTTTTAATTGTTAATATTGTCTCACCTGAGGCCCAGTGATACAGAAGAACATGATGCAAAAATGTATTCTATAATAATGAACCCTGTACATCCCTCTGTACAGTTAAAACTCATGTAGCCAATAAGACGCTCTCATGTGTTTATTTTTAACCATTTTGGGAGGAGTAAAATTTACTTATGGTAAATTTACATCCCGGTATGTAAACCGTAGATATGTAAATGCATCTGGTTTCAACAACAAGAGGCATTTACACTTGTAGCCTATAGTTTCGTTTGGAACGCATGTGCGACTCTTGAAGTGGTTCGGGTGATCTGATTTAAATCCGTCTTGAAAGTGTTTCGGAGGGCATTGATATCTGTATACGCAATTTTCCACACACATATAAAGGTTTTGGCACTTGCTATGTGAACACAATAGAAATCATGGACATGATTCGAAAAGATTAAATTATCTTGAATAAAATAGTCACAAAATGAACACGGAGTGATTCATTCATTTCAAATCTAGTGAAAACTTTTGGTACTGCAGTGCAGCCCAACTTTCTTACTGAAAGCTCATTTTTTGAGATATCAAGCTCAAAAATGGAACACAACTTGTTTAGATTTATGGCTTTGATTTTAAATTTTAAATTAAGTTTGGATTGTGAAGTATATATTTAATATAAAAATTGAAACTATATCATAACTATAAACGTGAAATTCTGTAACTTTTTTAATTTCGAAACCCATGCGAAAACAAGGATACATATCGGAAGGACATTGACATAAGGCTTCATTGAGAATGAATTTTTCTTTTACCTTCTGGGCTGAGACCGGCGGTCATCTTCCCCACTGCCAGACTCCTTTAAAAAAAAAAAAGGAAACAGATTAATTATTCTTATTGTTCTGTACCATAACATATTACCCCTGGTCGTACAATTAGCTGCGCTTCCATTACCCTTCAAATTGTGCAAACTGAAATTACAAATAAATAAAAAAAACATGTCACACAAGAAAGTTTTTACTTGTGTGACAAATCCGTAATGGAAACCCGGCATCTGAGCCTAAACAATAAGACGAAAATGCAATGTAAAGATTTGCATCAAATCTTTAATACAGGGGTCTTTTAAAGAAATCCGTTCATGCAGAGACAGACAAGTGACACCAACTGAAATCGAGATTTTCATCTTATAAAGTTTCAAAAAGGTTAGATTTGGTTGAAGTTAACGTAATATTGTATTGCACATATTTTCAATTTTCACAAAAACGTATTTGAAAAAAATTGTGTGGAGACCCTTACTTTAATCCATACATAATTTTGTTTTTGCATACACGGATTATTTTGTGCACAAAAAAGGACATCTTGCATTGCTATCTATTAATTGGACATCATCACTGAAAAATTAAATTACCCATCACTTGAACCAGTGCAATAATTGGTTCCCACATTTTGTTTGGGGAATGTCTTGTTCTGTACACCTACTTTTAATCTGTCTACGAAGAATTCATCCAGCTTTCTCGCCAGTGATCAATAAATTCTACCCAACTTATATGGCTTATTAGATAGGGGTGTAACGATACCCTCATGTCACGATTCGATACATATCACGATACTGAGCTCACGATACGATATTTTTGCGATACTCCAAGACATATGGTAAAAGGTTAACAAAAAATGTACTGTTGATTAAAATGCTAAATTTGATTTTACATTGTGGGTTTAAATGAATAGGCTTGGACTTGGTGCTGAAACCCAAGGAAAATAACAATTTTAAATACAGAATTATTTTAGATGAATATGCTAGCACTCTTTCAATGGCTAGATATATTTAAAATAATTTAGGACACTTTTAACTGGGAACATCAGATATTTGGCATTATCAGGACCCACAAATATTCCCCCATTGCATTATTATACATTATAATCAAAATTATATATAGTAGTTTAATGTAGTATTGACACTAAAATTCTGAAAACTTGAATTTTTTCTCACACAGACATTTTTATTTTGGGGGGAATATCCACGATACATATTGTCACTATCCACGATACGTATTGTTGCATTTTTGTATTGCGATATATTGTTACACCCCTATTATTAGACCTTTCAAATGCTGTAGCATTTATTTGGGTCTAACAGTTCAGATCACTGCATAAGTCCACATTATTATTCAGAGCAGATGATCGACTGAAAAGATGGGGATTTCATGCTAAATGCATTTGAACGTGTTAATAAGAGTTTGGAGTTTAAAGCCTTAAAGATTTTAAAATGAACAGTTCGCAGTAGCATGATGCATATTTATTCCAGAACATAGACAGACGGAGCGAGAGGTGCAATATTATTATGAAGACAGAGTATGATCAACGGTAAAAGGATATTTAGAAACCTGTTTTGCTTTATACATGATATAACCAGCTCCGTAAACCAGCCCAGTTGTGTGACAATACCAATTATATTGCAAAAATACACTTTAAAAATTAAGTAACCTGGCTGCCTTAAAAATTTAAGTTCATTGAAATGGAAAAATTTAGTTAATACAATGAAGGAGATTGATTTAATCATCAGAAACTCAAACTATTATGTTATCTGAACGATATAAATTATTTAAATTGATTTGACAAAAGAAAAAATGTTGTGATTACAATACAAATCATGAAAATATATATATATTTTTTTTTTTACAGTGTACAGGGGGAGCATTGTTGTTTTTTAATGAAACAGAGCCACATCTGTGTTTGAAATGCATTGCATCAATAAGCCTGAGATTTACCATGTTCAGAAATAGACGGGGCTATCAGAGAACCAATTCATCTCAAGTTACTCGTGGCAGTCATACATTACCCAAGATGGGCATGATTTTACATAAACCCAAATGAAAGCTCAGTGTTTTGCATTATGGAAATGTTTGACTCCATGAAATCTCTTTGAATTAATTATTTGGTTTTAAGCAGAAAATGACTATTGAATATTTGACTATCCAATGCATAAGTTCAAATAGTTTATAGTCGTTTGTGTATTAAAGCATAGTACAACAAACTAAGACTGGATTTGTTTGCATGTATAGAATTGGTGACACCATAGCCATCAAACAGGAGTCTCGCAAGACATTCTCATATGAGATTTCTCACAGATGTCGTCACGTGATAGTATACAAGACCTTAGAAAGACCAACGAAATTGCCTATAAGAGATAACATTTGTCCACTCTGGTTACCTAACAGATGATTTTTGGAAGGAAGTCTCTTTGAAGTAACCTGGGGTTATGTACTGCTCAAGAAGATAATAGAGAAAAGCAAGCAGATATTGGTTACTGGAACCTAAATCAACCCCACCTGGAACCAAACCTTTGAATTCTGTCATACTGCCTCTTTAACAACACCATCACAGCTGCAGTTTCAGTCACTAATCAGACAACTGTGAAATATCATATGATTCTGTTGTGGTAAAAACGAATTGCTTCATCATTGCGCTTGATTTTTATCGTTACATGCAAATTTACATTTCTCTAAGTCAAATGATGTCAAACAGGAGTCTCCACAGAGGCTGCAAGTGGTGTTAGGGAAATTTAAGAAATGAATAGTTTTTCTTGTAACAACTGGATTGCATGTAACACAATATTATTATTGAACTTTATAATATTCATTCTCCTGTCTAAAGACTGGAGGAAATTACGATTTATCACACCTTGTGCTGGGCAACGATTAATCGTGATTAATCGCATCCAAAATAAAAGTTTGTGTTTACATAATACATGCGTGTGTACTGCATATAATTAAATACACACACATGCATGCACATATTAAAGAAAAATGCGTTAGAATTTGTGTAAATATACATACAATGTATACATGCACATATTTCGAGTTAACTTTGGCATTAATGTGATTAAATATCATTTGACAAGCACTAGTTTTAATACATTTCGTTGCCTATGTCGAGGGGTCCCTGACAAGGGGATCAAGAAATATTGCGGTCATTCACATTTAAAAAATAAATAAAACACTTGCTTTGCGTTGTTTATTGATTTTTTTTAATCTGTCTGTTATTCAGTCTAGTTTTACACGTTAATAATCCCACATTTTTACTACTCTACAGACAGCCCGTTTACTATAACTGGCTCAGTTTTAAGGGGGCAACTGTGTTTACTTCCTGGTTCCGAGACGACTTTCGTTTGAAGACCATTCAGATCGTCATAGTCATCATCTTTGCATATGAATATCACTATTTGATACATTGTCAAAGAGAAGATTTGAGCAATTAATTAAACACTTCCTGTCTGTGACATGCCACTGCAAACAACCGGTAGATTTAGCAGAAAATCTCAACGACTGTGTTGTGAAACAGTCCATGTCACACGCTCGACAGATATTTGATGAGCCATATGGACAATGTAATTCCGAGTCTATATTTCACGCATGCGTGTTTCTCTAGCGTCTGAGGACAAACGGACCGTAGGAAAGAGCGGAAATGAACCCAAAACTACCGAGGCTGTGGAAGGTGTAACGTTAGAAGAAGAAAAAAGATGCGAGTCACTCACCGAAACGCACGGGCTGGATGTTGCGCTTGGAGTAGGCGACCGCTGCACAGTTACCAACGCCATTCAGGCTCCGGTAAACGGATACCTGAGAGAAACTGGTGGTGGCGAGACAGACATAATTGTGTCAGAGGAGATCAGCCGCAGCTCGTCCGTTGCTACTGCTTTCTGTCGCGCTTCCTCTCTGCGAGTCCTCTGCGCATGCGCCGGAACCGCCAGCTGTCAAAGATTCAGTGGCCTCAAGCCATGGTTAACTGTGTGTGTAGGCTACTAAACAACAAGCATGTGAAATAAAGAGTTAAACAGCATTTTTGAAAAGGTCCACGTTGGATTTCTCTTAATGATTTAGTTTCTCTTAAAAATACCACTGCAATGAAATGAATTTAAAGCAAATTGAATAGTCCAGAGAAAAATGAAAATTCTGTCATTTACTCACCATCATGACGTCCCAAACGTGTATTGCTCTCTTCTGTGGAACATAAAATTATAGATTATGAAGAATGTTGGTAACCAAACAGTTTTGTTTCCCATCGACAAAAAAAATACAAAGGGAACCAAAGCACTTTGATAACCATCACTCTTAAATATTTATTTTTTCCTTACATGAGGGTGGGTGAGCAAATGACATCCCTTTCTTTCTATCCCTTTAAAGCTTCAAATATGGTTAATTGGTAAATAATAGCTTTACATTTTCAAGGTTAAAGTAAGTAAATTACAGTGATTCATTTGTAATGCATTACACTCATCAAAACACACACACACACACACCTCTGTTTTCTCAGATGATGTGCAGACACAGACAGGAAATGGGTTTACAGACAAGCTGTGACTTTTCTTTTGCTCGTAACCTTCACTCCCACACTGCTGCTTCACACATGCCAAAGCAAATGCAACTCAGTTCTTTGTAGGTTATGTGATACTCTCAAAGATGAATAGGCCTAAAGTTTATTTTGCTTCATGAAGCCACTCAAAGCATCTGACACACACAACTTAATTTGTTACAGGAAACTTCCTCATACCTTATTTTGCTCTATTTGCTATTTGCGTTTGCTCTCTAACCATTCAACCAAATCCAGAGTTTACCCAAATCTCTCTGAATGGCATTAACAGTGAGAGTAGAGAGCAGAGGGTAGAGAAAATGAGATTAGGATTAAGGCAGGTGTAACAGAGTCTGTGTTAATGCAGAGATACAATAGAAAGAATGCCATTCCACATTTAACTAAATCATTTAAAACATACATATAGCCTAAGGTATGGCACAGTATAGGAAAAACTGTGAAAAACTGTTCATATAGAGAAAACGGTCAAAAAATGTGGACCAGACTTTTAACCATATCAACTTTTGCAATAGGCCTATAGTCTATAAATGGTGTTACATAATGGAAAAACACTAACAACACCAATAAGATTCAAATAGTTATATACAAATATAATAGTGTCTGTTCTTTTTTTTTATTTTATTTTTTATTGTCTGTTCTGTGAGAACAGCAACTTGCCGGGGGTGTGGTTTTTGGTGATTGAGGGATTTATTTAAGAGATTGTCACCATCTAGTGGCAGCCTGTTCTGTATCGAACAATTTCGTTTCAGTAATATCGTTTTCAATCGTTTTTTTTTTTTTTTTTTTTAGTATAGGCCTACAATAGAAACTTGACTATGCATGCATATTAATAATTGTATCCTATTTTAATAATTATTAATAATATAAATGTAGGCTACTTAAATTGTTTCCTCTAAATGCCACTGTTTAAACGTCTAAATCATAAATATTTTTTTCCATCAATTGAGTTTTAGCAGATAGTGAAATGGTAAAACAAATTTCTACTGATTGCACCGCCACCGTCAGTAGCCTATTTGTTTTCACTGTCTACATGTGTCTTGTATTAATTTGTAAATTCAGTTACTAAACATGATTAAACTCCATTAATGTACAATAACAATCACGTTTCCATATATTTTCTAGAGCTGAAACGTTTTATGGATATCCCCAAAAGAATTGGGTCAAATTGAATGGTAAAAACAAGTAATATCGTTCGATTCATATACCGTACTTTCAACAAAAAAAAAAAAAAACGTAAACATAATCAGAACAACTAATTTGTAATTACACAGAGGATATTTGATTTCATCGTTGTTGTCTTACAAAAATGTATTATTAATTACAATCAGATTCTGCTTTTTTGCTTTAACGTCGTATTGATCTTAAACTATCGAATCTGCCGTACGACAGGTAGTTTTAGAAGCAAGATGGCGACCTCTGGTAAACAGTAAGTGCCTTAATCCTAACTGGCAGTTATTTTGTCCCCTTACTCAAGACATACGAAGAAATTATCGTTTATAATGGTGGACGTGGAATGATGATTGTGTGTGCATGTTTTAAAGAGTATCTTGTTAATAATAACCTAATCAAAATAGTCCGAGCCACAGAGCTAATGCTACTATCCCCAAAACACATGTGAATACAATATTAGCCACATTATAAATCATAAACAAATAGTATTTACACGTTGCATTTGACTAAAATCTCCAATTTGCTCTACGTACTATTATAGCTTTTTGTTGGTAACTGTCATTATATGAAACTGGGAGGGGTTTGCTTGGCTACCACTGTTGGGAAAGAAACACACAGTTAACAAGCCTACACTGTTTAGCTAGTTCAAACTGGTCTCCCAGCCTGGAAAAACTGGTGTTTGGCTGCTTTTAGCTGGTATAACTGGCATAGCAGTTATGATCAGGCTGGGAGATCGACAGCCAACTAGCTTAAACTGGTTATAAACTAAACTTTAGTTAACCACTACTTGCAATGTAAGTCGTATTCATTCATACTGTCTTGTGTGCATTTAAGATATGGACTCATTTTGCCTCAGAAGAGTGCATCAAAATCTGCCCTTCTCTCCCGGCCCTCTGTGTTTGGAGATGATTCTGATGATGAGGTGACAGCTTCTATGAATCCGAATATGACTTTCTCTACACTTAAATCAGTGCACTGTAATAAAACACAATTTCTTATATTGTAGACCTCTGTGGGGGAGAGCTTGAAGAAGGAGGCAGCCAAAAAGAAGATGATGAAGCAGGTGAGCTTGGAAGACATCCCAAAAAATCATCTCATAATTATCAGGTTAATGGTGTTGAAAACCGTTCTTTTGTTCTACATCCCACTTCAGACCCGTCTTGAGATGCAAAAGGCACTTCAAGAGGACAGCACTGTCTATGAATATGACAACGTGTATGATGATATTCAGAAAGAGAGACTGGAAAGCAATAAAAAATTGCTAGGTGGCACAGATAAAAAGGTATATTTTAACATTTTATTACAAAAAAAGTTGCTAACAGTATAAGCAGGATCCACACTATGGATGATATTGTTCTGTTTATTATAAGCATGAGTTACAGTTTTGTCATCTGCTACTTTAAATGCTCAAGCTCTTTAGAGCTGGATGGATTCTGACTGGCTGTCTATGGTTTTATCATTCAGTAGCTGGATAAAAATGGTTCTGAAAGGGATTTCAGTGAAATCAATGTTCTTCGTTGTTATCGTCATAGTGTGGATTTCTCTATTCTCATAGAATTAGAAAGATGATTAAAACTTCATTTTTATTGTTCTAGTTGTTTTTGATGTGGATGAACCTTGAGTTTAAATCAATATAAGTCTGTATAGCTGTTGTATTACTATATAATACTTATATGATCAGTAGTTAATTGTTCACTTCAACATTTTCAGCCCAAGTATATTAACCAGCTGCTCCGTGCAGTGGAGGAGAGAAAGAAGGAACAAGAACGTCGTGATGAGAGGAAAATTCAGAAGGAAAGAGAAGCAGAGGGCGAGCTGTTTGCTGATAAAGAGGCCTTTGTCACTTCAGCTTATCGCCAGAAGCTTAAAGAAAGACAGGAAGAGTTGGAGAGAGAGAAAAGGGAAACAGCGTTAGAAGGTGAGTTCTTGAAGTGTTTTTATGAGTATTAAAATGGACATGCTTAATGGTTTCTTTTTCATTTTTAGCTGCACTGGATGTCAAGAAGCAGAAAGATCTCAGTGGATTTTATAGACATCTTCTCAATCAGACAGTCGGAGAAGAGGCGGTTCCTGATCGTAGTGCTCAAAGGTGAGGCATATATTACGGAAGCAAGATATTTCTTTATTTGCACTACACACCAGAGTTTATGACTATGATAATAATATCAGTTTTTATGATTATGATCAAGCACTGTTTTTTGACTGCTAAAATAACACTAGAATCCTTGCAGATTATAAAAAAGTTCAAAATGGCTGCACCTGCTCTTACATTACAAATAAAGTGGATATGTTTATCATCATAGATAAGTGCAAAAGTTTACAAAAACCTTGTAAAATATGCTTAACATAAAAAAATTCAATTATATTAATTTTTAAAAAAAATGTAAATAATTAAAAGCTTACATAAAAATAGCATAGCAAATAATAAGTATTTTGCTTTTTCCTATACAGAAGAACCTGACTGTAATTAAGGTTATTTTCTGTTCTGTTGATGAAATTAAATGTTCATTTATGTGTCATCGAGTTCAGTTTCAACGACATCATATATCTGAAAACAAAACTTCTGTCATCATTTACTCACAAGTTGTTCCAAACATGTATGAGATGATATTTTGAAGAATATGGCTATGGATACAATGGAAGTCAATGGGGTCCATAAACTGTTTGGTTACTGAAATTCTTCAAAATAACTACTTTTTTTGTTCATCAGAAGAAAAAATTCAAATTGAGGCCGGGAGAGTAAATAGTGACAGAATTTTCATTTTTGAGTGAACTATCCCTTTAACTACTCCTGTTGCATTTTAAATTGCTAACTAAGCTTTAATAAAATTATTTATCTTCAACTTGAACTTGTTTAGAGAGGACAAAGCCACATGCTCTGCACCAGCAGAAAGGTCACCGACCCCGGAGCCCACACTGAAACAGAGAGAGAGCGAGGCTGAATCCCACAGTGATGATGAGGACCAGAGCGATAACAGAGCAGTGTTCAATAAAACAACCACAAGCGGCAACCACTCAAAACGCCAATACAGGCAAAAATCCCCTCGTTCAGACAGTGGTGACGAGCAAGACCGGGAGAGGAAAGAGGTTAGAGAAAGAAGTCTCAAAGGTAGAGACAGGGATAGGACAAAGGAGAAAGAGAGGACGAGGGACAGAGAGAGAGAGGACAAGTACAGTCATAGAAAGGAGGACAGGGACCGCAGAAGAGACAGGGACAGAGAAGAGGATAGAGGCCGAGACAGGAGGGAAAGGGACCGAGACGACAGACATGGTAAGAGGGACAGACGAAACAGCAGTCCAAAAGACAGAGAACGAGAGCGGAAAGGAGAACAAGATCGAGACAGAAGAGACAACAGCTCAAAGGACGGAGAACGCGACCGCAAAGGAGAGCCAGATCTGAGGGACAGAGAAACCCGGAAAATGGAGGAAGAAAGCCAGAAAATGGGCAACAAAGGGAAAATCGGGGATGAAGAAAAGATAAGCGAGGGGAAAACTGACAATGCTAAAGAAGAAAAGGTCATGGAAACCGAGGATAAAGGTGAAGCGAAACAGGAACCCAGTAAATTTGCTAAACGCAGCTGTGACCAGACTGTAAATTCAGCCAGGGAGAGATACTTGGCCCGGCAAATTTCTCGTTTTTCTGCGAAACCCTACATTGAAAAAGATGACGACTAGCCATTATATCTCACCTTTGAAGACGTTGTATATTTCCCTCTTTGAAACTGGAAATATTGGTTTGGTTAAAGGCAAATAATTGAAATACTTTATGGTTTATGAACGTGGGGAGAATTGAGCTTATTGCGTGCTTGTGGATTTCACTTTAAATGTATAATTGTCCATGAGTGTTAATAAAATAAACTTAAATGGAACTAATTGTAGCAAAGCTTTTTAGGGGCCGTTTACATGACAATTTTTTAATTAAAAACGGAAAACTTGTGCGTTCTGGCCAAGCGGCGACCTTCTGTCTGTCTCTTGAATCCAGTACAGAAGCGACTTTACCCTACTTTACAGCAGAAAAAAAATGTTTACAGTCAGGTACAAAAAGTGGTTTAGGTCAATTGGGAATTTTCCCCCTTATGACAACTGTGATGATGTGGCTTCTTTCGTAGTGTGTGTTTATTAGTCATGTTTAATCAATCAAAGCATGTCAATCTTTTTATTCAGCTACAGTGTTGATGCTAGATAGGGATTTCCTGAAATGATGTGCGTGATCTTACATCTCTGCGGCAGGGCATATTTGGAGCGCCCTCTGGTGTTCAGAACTTCAGATCGGCCACACTGCGCATAAAATAATCGCAGCCTCTGCCAAATCACGTGCGGTTTCATTGTGATTAATCGTGCAGCCCTACGTCACGGACAATGTCCATAATTTTTTTTTCTCCAGTCTATGGTTCTGCTCCTTCATTTATACGACAATGGTGTTTGGGGGGCCTAAAGAGGCACGTTTTTAAAATCTATATCATTGTCAAATTCACAACGCCAATTTGGAGATGTTACACGCATGCGTATTGTAACGTTCGTAGTTTCTTTTTACAAAGTGACCACCAATTACAGGCCAGGGGGTTGTGCTCTTCTAGGTATTGGACGTGTTTGAGGCTTTTAATCAACAGAAATGGGGAAGGGCAATTAATAAACCATTTTACACTTATTTAAAGGTGATATTTTCCCATTGCATGAAACATAATGCAGATCACGAGCCCCTACCCTTCCATTGACGGAATTTTCCGGCTATTTTCACTGATATATGCTAGGGGGCGCTGTAACGCATCTTCTTAAAGTATTGCAAATGTGAAGTGGAAGAGCAAGTAATCACAGAAATAATAATTTACATATGTAAAATAACGAGATAATCAACAGCATATAAATCAAAACTGCCTAATGTTCCGGAATTAAATTTCAACTCAGGACAAACTACGATCTACTAGTCTATATTTTGATCATGGTTCTGAATTCTCAGCTTTTTGCTCAATGTCGCTTTTATTTATGAAACCTTCCCACAGTTCAAGTGTTGAAAAATAAAGCTAGAATAAAACTGATTGTTGAAAAGCATTAAGTGTGTTCTTTCAATATATTTGCATGTTCAGATATACAACAAAATATTCAGGTGGCCATGAAAATTGAAAAAGAAACTGGCCATAGAAGTTGAAAGGGATAGGTCACTCAAAAAGGAACGTGGTCTCATTTACACGAGTTGTTCCAAACCTGTATTAATGTCTTCTGCTGTACAAGTTGATGGGCCCCATTAACTTCCATAGTACGCCCCACAACTGTTTGGTTACCCACACTCTTAAAAATATCTTTATTTTTTTTTTAAGCAAAAGAAACTCATACAGGTTTGGAACATCTTGAGGCCGAGTAAACGCCTTTACATTTACATTTAACAAAAATTTACATTTTTGGGAGACGCATAACTTAAGATGTTAACACATCTGCATTGTGGGCAACACTTTTCCTCACAGAAACGATTTAGAACAAATATGTGAATAAAGAACTTTTATTGGGTTATGATGTTTTTCTTAATTACAATAAAAAGAAATTCATTACACACAAAAGAACTAAAAAAGTAATAATAATTGAAAGCAGCAGTCGTCGTCTCAATCCCCTTCGTTTAAAATCTGGTGGGCAAAAAAAAAGATAACTTAGACTTGCATTTGCTAGCCATATTTCTGAAAAACTTAATATTTTGTTCAGAGTCAGAAAACCGTTTATCACCACTGATCAATCTGACGGTAATTCCAGCTATCAGTTTAGGTTTCATCATTATAAAGAACTGGGGTAACAATTAAAAACATTCCTGCAGAACTCACCAAAAAATGTTTTAAATCTTCATAGAATATCTGCAAAAGACACACAGATTGTTAATGAACAGATCACACATGTGGGAAGTAACGTTGTCTTCCACACTAATGTGCTCAGAAAACCGATCATCACCACTGAACCATCTGACGGTAATTCCAGCTATATTCAGTTTAGATTTCATCACAACACGGTATGGAAGAAAATTATTATTGTGAAATAGTGGTCCATTGCGTCTTACCATGATCAGTCGTATATTTTTTTTTCGAAGCTTCTCTGAACACACACTAATCGAGTCGCCACTTCAGAACAGAAAGACCTAACAGGCGTGCGCCTCGTGGTTTATATACGCGCTCCTTGATGACGTAGTGCTTCCTGTTCTTCTGGTATAAAACACTTCGCGCGATCTGCTCACGTCTGCCAACTACTGGATTGGGGGCATTGATTTCCTTTTGAGATGCGCCTCGCCTGAAATGTAGTCGAGAGTAGGCGGCTGCAGTGAGAGCTGAGAGGAGGAGTGAAAAAAGCGCAGTCAAGCTAGATAGATCTCGGTTCTCGCAGTGGATCAGACATCTTTTTTTTTTTTTTACAAATCATTGTTGTTTCATGTTTTAATGTTTTACTTATCAGAAAATGTGTAAAAGAAATGTGAAGAACTTGATATCAAACTCTGTGATTTTGAAAATTAAAAAAAAAGAAAAGAAAAAAAGACCAAAGTCTGCTATCGCGGGAATAACGGGATTCACGCTCGTGCACGTGTTGCTAATAAACTGGATGTGATTTAAGTTCTTTTGCTTTTATATGAAAATTAATATAGTGAACAAGACACCCAAAGTACTTGTTATTTAATTACATTCCAAATATGTATTTATTATTTTTTCTTTAATACAGACATGTGTTTTTAGATTTTATATATTGATTTAATAAAAATGACTTATCTAGCAAAACGATTGCTCATTTAAAAAATAAATAAAGTATTAGAAGCACAAATGGTCACCTTGCTCTGTTCTGTGATGAGCGTTCGTGACTCTCCTGTTCAAACTCGTTCATCAAAATGAACAAATCTTTTTTCGAGTCATGACTTGAAGGGTCCTAGATAAGACACTTATTCATCGTCTGGTGTCGTTTAAAGCCCTTTGAAGCTGCGCTGAAACTCATTTCGACCTTGAACCGTTTGGTTCCCAATGAAGTCTATTATATGGAGAAAATCCTGCAATGATTTCATAAAAACCTTAATTTCTTTTCGACTGAAGAAAGAAAGACGTGGATATCTTGGATGACATGGGGGTGAGTAAATTATCAGCAAAATATTTTATTAAAAGTGAACTACTCCTTTAAATACACTTTGATTTTAAACAGACACAAATGTGTTAGAAGATACAAATGACAAAACCAACATATACTAAAATTACTTTATTACAGTTGATTTATTTGTCCAGTAGCCCCCTGCCAACAAAAGGAGTTTTTACAAACAAAACATGACATTTGTCCCCTTAAGTTTTCATAATTTTTGTATACTTTAATTCACTTGTGTTTTTTTTGTAATCTCGCCAACATTCAGTTTCGCACAATCTATACATTTTAATACAGGTTATATATGGATTGCTATGGTAATGTTGAAAGCCGGAAAAATGAGAGGATGACCGTCAAAAGAAAATGGTTGAAATACTGGTAAACACACTGTACAGAGATGTTCCACCATCCTTTATTATTTATCCTGTTGGTTTCACACTTTTTCAAAGGCTCATTAAAACACTGCTCTCCTTTGGACTCTGTTTGCAAGAGTAAACACAATCACATTTTGAGTCAATGGCTGTTCCTTGTGGCTGCTCCATTAGAGTACTGAATGTGATTAGATGATTGGCATGTTATATATAATCTCATGTTAATTTGTTACACTTGGCCCAAATCTTTAGGATTGGCTATGCATTGGCTCAGTTGGTTTAGTTAGTCCGCAACTTCATGTAATCTGCAATCTCATGCATATACCAGAAGTGTGCCAAAAATAGTGTTGAGAATTGATAAATATCGTAGACCTGGCAGTTGAAAATGTTTCTCGTTTTTTGACCCATGGCGTTTATGTTTCAGAATATTAAAGTTCACAGAATATGAGTACTGGCACGAGTGAATATGGTAATTCATACCTTTGAAAGAAGCAAAGAGAGGACGATGGCAAAATCCATATAAAGAGTGGTATCCTCTGTGTGAATCTAAGGGAAAATAAAATATTTTTTGGCTTCGCTTGACACCTCTGTAATGTGTGTATATATATATATATATAATTTGTTCTCTTTTTAAATAATCAATATTAGAAACCAAGTTTTTTTATTTTATTTTATCTTCACATTCAAGCAATTAAATTTGAGTCTAGTTTTAACTTGGGTCTCCCTTGATTTCCATTTATTTAAATTTCTAAATATACAATATACACAAATGTTTTCCTATACATCTCACTTAAAGCTGTCTTCCACCATAATGTTTTGTATGCTATCTAACCTTGTTTTTCATTGCATCACTTTTTGTTTTTCTACATGCCGTGGATAAGTGTTCGGTTGGAGGGTGGGCAGCAGTCACTGGAGCTCTGGGGTGGGCATGGAAGAAACCAAGGCATTGCAGGGACGACAGCAGCGGCGCCCAGCAAAAACATTCAGCGGTCTCAAAGCCTACCCAACCTAGACCTCCCCACCCTTAAAATCCACACAACACGCTCTTGTAAAACCCAGCCTGAGAAAGGGGAGGAGGGGGCACCCGAGGTCCAGGAGATCTGCTCGTGTATGGTTGTAGTGATCAACTAAGACTAAAAAGGGATGGTAAAGTGCTTTTCTGGGATGTTAAGAAGACAGGCTATTCTCCTTTTGCATAGTTGTTACCTTTGGCATCACTAAATCAAAAGACTAAAACGAACATTAATATACTTCCGACTACAGCTTACTTTTGTCACACCGGGATCCAGAAGTGAAGATCTACCTCGCCAACATGCTTTAATGCTTATGTACATTCACATAGCAAACCCTGTTATATTCAGTCCAAGACACCCTCACTTAAATGTAGTCATTTTGCACACCTACCTTATAACCACTGTATATCCCTTTGGCATATAGAAATGGACCAAACCGGTTACACAGAGTTTTCCAAACGCAAAATGGCATGGTAAAATCACGATAATCCAATAATACTCCTAGCAAAATCTTGGAATTTCACAGTATCTTTTCATAGTTAAAATTTGTTCTGGCACAAAATAGCATACGGTTTAACAACACATTAAAACATTAGTGCTTTATAAAAGAACACGCGAGACAAAAAAAAATCAAGTGCAATGTAAAGCTTGATTCTTTCACATTCTGCTATCCAACCTATTCCTATCTCGTTTCCTTTTGGATTCATACGCATTCGACTCCCACTCTTCGGCCGAAACAACCCGCTAATAAGACCGTGATTAAAAACCCACTGCATACGACGCGCAGCATTCATTTATTCATTCTTACCATCACTAACACTCTCTAAAACGCACATGGCATCACTGCAAAAAATGACTTCTAGCTGAAGTTTGATAAAACGGCCCAGAATTATTCGGACGTTCTCTAACTGGAACTTACAGTGAATGCGTCTTGTGCTTGCCGTGTGTATAAAATCTGTATTCCGAGGAATGGGTGTTAAAAAAGAAAGAAAATAAGACCACGGTGCCCCTTTATCCCGTCCCCTATGGCATTTTAGGCCAAGACAGGTGTTGTGGGAGAGCAGCGGGGGGATCTTACGTGTAGGACAGGTGCGAGCCATTGGAAATCTGAGAGGCGATGCTGGCACTCCTGCTCATCCCCTGCTCACTGCGGCCCCCTGAGGTGGCCCGCCGTACTGCCTGGGGACTGTTCCGTAGCCCACTGCTTCCCCCACTCGAGCGCTGACTGCCTCCAGACCCGTGGTGGCCCCAGGGAGGCGGCCCCCCTGAAGACAGGCCGTGACCCCAGGGCTGCTGGATGGAGCCGCCGTGGCTTGGGTGTTGGCCGTGCTGTTGCCCTCCCCAGTGTGACCCCTGAGAGCCTGCGCCGTGCTGAGAGCCCCAGCTACTCTGGGCCCCGGGAAAGCTGTGGCTGTGTCCGTCGGACGAAGCCAGGCTGGAGAGCACCATGTTGCTGAAGCCCAGACGCATGCTTTCAGAGTCGAACGCCTCGATCTCCCGGGCCTGCTTCTCGAACAGACTGCGGATTCGTTCCGATCGCTCGTTCTGCAGGGCGACCATCTCCTCTTCGATCTGGCCAAAACCAAAATAGAATCAGGTAACGCTTCAATGATGACGTGAAATGTTCCCAGCTGCTACAGGGATAGTTAAAGCTGGAGTACACTGTACACTCACACTGTGAGTGTGCCCAAAGTCTATTCCCTATTGTGCAGATGTGGGGCAGTCAGAGTTGACAGATTGCACATGGAATTTCATAATTTTGTGCAGATTTTAGAACACGTTGTTTTTTAATTTGTCATGCATCTCCAAGGTTTTTGTGGTTGGAACCTCAGTCGGCAAGTGCACTCTTAGAAGAAAAGGTTCTATCAGCGCTACGTATTTGGAACCCCTAAAAGGTTCTGTACACTCTTAAAAAAAGGGTTCCTCTCGGTTCTATATAGAACCCTGGGGTTCCATACTTGGCCAATAGAACCTTTTAGCAAAAAAATGGTTCTATATAGAACCATTTTGGAGTTCCATATATGAAGCGGGAGATGGAAGCATTTCTTCTAAGAGTGTGTATTACACCTAGAGTTCAGATTTGAAAAGTAGACAAAAGTAACAAAAAAAAAAGCAACAAAAGTAGAATTTTTCTTTTATGTTCTAGAATCCATAGAACATAAAAATAAAACTTTTTTCAAACTTGCAGGTTCAACATCATTAAAGGAGTAGTTCACTTTTAAAAAACTTTTGCTGATAATTTACTCACCCCCATGTCATCCAAGATGTCCATGTCTTTCTTTCTTCAGTCGAAAAAAAAATTAAGGTTTTTGATGAAAACATTGCAGGATTTTCCTCCATATAATGGACTTCAATGGGAACCAAACGGTTCAAGGTCCAAAAGACACTTTCAGTACAAACTGCAAACTGTTCAAAGGGCTTTAAACGACACCAGACGATGAATAAGGGTCTTATCAAGCGAAACGATTGCTCTTTTAATAAATAAATAAAGTTTAAGTTTTATAAGCTCAAATGCTCGCCTTGCTCTGTACTGAGATGCACGTTCGCGACTCTCGTTCGAACTCGTTCATCAAAACGAACGAATCTTTCTCCGAGTCAATTCGTTCGTTTCGTTCGTTGAATGACTTGGAAAAAGATTTGTTCATTTTGATGAACGAGTTCGAACAGGAGAGTCACGAACGCGCATCACAGAACAGAGCAAGGCGAGCATTTGAGCTTATAAAACTTAAACTTCGTTATTTAATTTATTAAAAGAGTGATCGTTTCACTTGATAAGACCCTTATTCATCATCTGGAATCGTTTAAAGCCCTTTGAACAGTTTGCACTGAATCTGTCTATTAGACCTTGAACCGTTTCGTTCCCAATGAGGTCCATTATATGGAGAAAAATCCTGGAATGTTTTCATCAAAAACCTTAATTTCTTTTCGACTGAAGAAAGAAAGACATGGACATCTTTGATGACATGGGGGTGAGTAAATTATCAGCAAAAGTTTTTTTTTTTTTAAAGTGAACTACTCCTTTAATGGCAAAATATAGTTAGTGAATTTGTCAAGAATTTAGGCTAAACACATTCCTCAACTTTTTTTTTTTAATGCTTCCGAACGTTCAAACCTTTGTATTACACCTGAAAAAAAAAAGTTTGAAAACAAACTTTCATTTTTGGGTGAACTGTACCTTTAATTCTTATTCCGGAACGTCAAAAGCTCTCATCTGCAATTTCTGCAGTGTGTTGCTTGGATTTGTATCCATTTACCTTCTGTTCAAGAAGAGCCCTCCTCAGCGAAACCCTCTGCTCCAGCTCTTTTCTCTCACGATCGTGCTGTGAGTCCGTCTGCATTTTGATCTTGCTCTGATAGGCATTTAGCAACTCCAGCTCCTGCTGCAGCTGCATCTTTAGCACCTGACATTCGGCCTCCTGTGCCTCGTCCAATCGCAGCTGAGGAGCAAGAGGGGAGGTGGAGTTACATGTGGAATCGGTGTGTTATAGTATTTTTTTCGAAAAAATAACATTTTCGCCTCCTGGCTTTGCATGAAGAGATACACATAGGAGTCGGACGGGAGGACTCACAGCTTGTGTGGAGAGCATGTCATTGATGGAATGGTCATACTGCTCAGCGAGGATGGCTAACTTCCGTGTCTGCTCCTCCTTCAGCCTCTTCAGCACAGCCTTATGGTCGGCCTTGGGTGTCGTTTCCAGGAGGTGGTTGCGCAGGGCTTTATACTGGCGTGTCTGGATCTTACACGTGTCCTGGAACTGCTTCTTGATCTGCATTTCTTTAGACTGATACGGATCAAAGAGGAGGAAAGGCTTACTTTTACTTTAATACACGCCTGCCGAATCCATGTGCGAAATTTGACTATATTCTCCTCACTTTATAACTCAAAATAGTCTAGAAAAACTGAAAAATATTTATTGAGTGTATATAGAGGTCTATGTTTGGATGAATATTGTGGTGGGGTGCTGGAAACGCACCTTAAGGCTCTTGGGCTGCTGCCGGACCTCCATGACGTGTTTGCGGCGCAGCTCTCGCTCTCTGCGTTTGTTGTACTCTAGCTGGTTGGTGAGCTCAGTCTGATGCTGCAAGCGGGTCAGCTCTGAACGCATCTTCTGGATGGTGCCCAGCTGCCTCACCTCCAGCTCCTGCATCGACTCGTGTTGGCGGAGCAGCATGGCGTGTTCCAGATCTTTCTGCGTCTGTCGCTTGTTAAGCTCCTGGATCGAGAAAACCTCTTGTCATTATATTTGATTTCTTTGGTTCTAATGGATAGATTTGACAGTTTGGTGAACGCAACATTACCTCCCGCACAAGGTCTTGCTCTACATTGTGTTTTGCAATGAGGATTCTGCGTTTAAAGCGGCGACATTCAAGCTCCAGGTACTGGCGCTGTCGGCGGAGAAGGTTGGCTTCCTCTTCTGCCTGGTAGTGCTGAAAGTCCTCCTTCCGCTTCGACAGCCACTCCTGCTTCTCCTTCTTAGGGGTGGACTGGTTCTCATTCAGCTCCTAAACAGTGTGGGGAACATTAATGGGAGGTTGTTAAGCGGAAATACTTAATAAAAAGATTAAAAAATAGCTACTTATATTTATATAAATATGAAATTTATATTTGCAATCTACTTAGTAACAAGTCCTTCTCAACCTCTACTTTTCTATACTGAAAATTGTCAAATGGCTGAACAATAAAGAAACTTTACTTAAATACACTGTAAAAAAATATTTTCAAGATTTATCACATTTTTTTCTTTTGTCAAATCAACTTAAATAATTTATTTAGTTGAGATAACTTATTATTTTGAGTTTCTGATGATTCAATTAATCTCCTTCATTGTATTAACTCTGTATTAACTTAAAATTAAGGCAGCCAGGTTACTTACTTTAAGTTAAAACAACAATATTTTTTACAGTGTAGTGATCCTGAGAATTTTTTATTTTATTTTTTACTGAAACCAAAAATAAAGTTAATTTAACAATTAATCCATGAAATGTATTTAATAATCAACACTTATTTCAATTGCATAGAAGCGCTTTTAATTTCACTTTAATTGATTATTTATAATGTTTTTACTCAGATTTGTTGAAATTTAAACGGTGGCTATTATTCAAACATACATCAATGAAGACAATGTAATGATTCAAAATAACGAATATGTAATACAGCGCATATATTTAACAAAATGTTCCTTAGACTTGTTTTCATACACAACATTTCATACATAACATTGTTTACAAGCTGTTTTACTGACTTTTTCCGAGACTGAAAAACTGATTGAGCGATTACATGACATGACACATTTCAGTTTCTTCCAACATACCTTCTGATGTTCATTCATGTTTATTTTTTGTACTATAAACAGCAAAGTTTACCTGTTGTAGCTTATCCACGAAAAAGCCAGCCTAAGGAGAAGTACTAATTAAATGTCAATGTCTCAGCCAAAAACAAAACATTTTTTAGTTTGCTAAAATTTCAGTGCATCTCTAATTTTCAGCTGTGTTGACCATGCCCACTTTTCTAATTTTTCACTTGTCTTGATTCATTTGCACTGTTCATGCAAAAAGATCTCATAATAGAGGTCAATCTAGGTGGAATTACACCAAGATGAAAAACACAATAGGTGGATTCATAGGTGGGCAAAAAGCCTTGCTTAAATATGCCTATACCTCTTTCAGTTGCTCCTTGCGTAGCTTGTACTCTCGTTTCTGTGACTCCAGGAAGCTACTAAGCTCTTTCTTCTGCTGGGCTTGAATGTGCTGTTGGAATTTCTTCTCATCATTGGCAAATGACTTGGTCTACAAGACAATTTTCATGTAAATGTAAAAAAATTAAAAATAAATTATTAATAGCTATGTGCACAGAGCTTTTATCATAATGAAGCAGAACCTCCCCTTGCAACAAAGTATGAAGTACATAATTCTCAAGAATGCCATTTTATGATGCAACATTAAGATTTGTCTTCACTGGAATTGAGGGGTAAGGGTCATCACATACTTTTGGCCAAGTTATGCATATGAAATATATTATTACTAGATTAAAAGAGTAGTTCAATTTAAAAAAAAAAAAACTTTCTTCATTCGAAAAAGAAATTAAGGTTTTTGATGAAAACATTCCAGGATTTTCTCCATATAATGGACTTCTATGGGAACCAAACAGTTCAAGGTCCAAATGACGGTTTCAGTGCAGCTTCAAGGGGCTTTTAACGACACCAGATGATGAATAAGTGTCTTATCTAGCGAAACGATCGGCCATTTCAAAAATGACTCGAAAAAAGATTTGTTCATATTGATGAACAGGAGAGTCAGAGTAAGACCCTTATTCATTGTCTGGTGTTGTTTGAAGCTGTCTTTTGGACTTTGAACCGTTTGGTTCCCACTGAAGTCCATTATATGGAGAAAATGCTGGAATGTTTTCATCAAAAACCTTAATTTTTTGACATGGAGGTGAGTAAATTATCAGCAAAAGTTTCTTTAAAAGTGAACTACTCCTTTAAGTAACTGTTTGGCATATGAGGAAGAGGGGAATTTCCGATTCCCGAGCAGTTTTCAGGTGGAATTTCCGTCATGTGACGCGTCTCATGTGCACTTACATCTTTCTCAATGGCTGCTTGGTTTTTCTTCACAAGTTTCTCTATCTCACTGGCAAAGCTGTTCCTCTGAGCCTCCAGCTCTTTGTCCAGTCTCAGCCTGTGTTCGTCCATCTCCGCTTTCAGTTTGTTCTCCAAGGCCATCAGGTGCTTCTGGTGCTGCCGTCTCATGCGCTTGTAACCGGACATCTGCTCCCTCAGCTCAGAGTCCTGCTCGTGTTCCTGCATCTGTCGTGTTACCTGAAAGAGGCAAGAGGAGGGACACGAGGAAATGAGGGGACAGTGAAGAGGAATAAAAAATGATCAAGCTACATTTAAGAAAAATGAAATGAACCTGAGACTGGAAGTGAACAATAAACTCTAGCGATGTCATTCATTTTACACTGTCTACACCGGAAGTGACCTATGCCTCAGTTTATCGATTATAATACGAGCGATTTAGTTTTGACAAATCCAATGTGAAGCATTTCAGTACAGATCCGACATGACTGGCTTACCAGTGAGGCTGTGCGGATGGTGGCAAAGTGCTCAGGGTTGCGATGGTGTTTGCGCTGTGGGGGCTGTGCAGGTGGCGCCTGGGCTTCTGAGGGACGAGGATGTGTTTCAGGATTCTCAGGGTAAACCTCCTCCCTTTCCTAAGACACAAAAACAGGAAAATGTATACTCACTGTTCACTTAGTATAAAGAATTTCTAATTATGGAAGGTTTCTCTGATATTTTAAGAAGAGGTGTGTGAACGTACGGGCTTCAGATGTATGACTGAACTGTTAGACATAACAGTGTGGTCTTTCTCCAGATCAAGTTCGCTCTTGTCATCGGCAGCATCAGGAAGGCTGTTCACTGAGCTGCTCTGAGAGCTCGCACTGATCGACATGCTGGGAATGGACTGATTACTGCCCACACTGCTCACTGTGCCCGTGCGACCAGGATTGTGCTCCGACTCCTGAACACACACAAAAAACAACAACTTTATTTTAGTCAAAAAACATTGTGTTGGCTTAAAAGGACTGATATCATGACTGACAATTCTTGTAATTAAGTTTAAAAAAAAAAATTTATTAAAGGAGTAGTTCACTTTTGAAAAAACTTTTGCTGATAATTTACTCACCCCCATGTCATCCAAGATGTCCATGTCTTTCTTTCTTCAGTCGAAAAGAAATTAAGGTTTTTGATGAAAACATTCCAGGATTTTTCTCCATATAATGGACTTCAGTGGGAACCAATAACGATGAATAATACGACCAATAATACGATGAATAAGGGTCTTATCAAGCGAAACGATCGCTCGTTTTATAGTTTATAGTTTTAAGTTTAAGTTTTATAAGCTCAAATGGTCGCCTTGCTCTGTTCTGTAATGCACTCTTGTTCGAACACGTTCATCAAAATGAACAAATCTTTTTCCGAGTCATTTGGTTCATTCGGCGAAAGAAACGAACGATTTTTTTAAAAAATGAGCGATCGTTTCGCTTGATAAGACCCTTATTCATCGTCTGGAATCGTTTAAAGCCCTTTGAACAGTTTGCACTGAAACTGTCTTTTGGACCTTGAACCGTTTGGTTCCCATTGAAGTCCATTATATGGAGAAAAATCCTGGAACGTTTCATTAAAAACCTTAATTTCTTTTCGACTGAAGAAAGAAAGGCATGGACATCTTGGATGACATAGGGGTGAGTAAGTTATCAGCAAAAGTTTTTTCAAAAGTGAACTAATCCTTTAAATAAACTGCATAAACTTCACAAGATTGTGTTAAACCAGATAGTATTCCCCAGGATTTGAGAATGACCCAAAGTTTATCCTGTGTTTGCCAAAGGTACACTATGACATTTTTTTTTTGTTAAAAATGAATTTAAATAACTAGTCAATACATCATCAATCCTTCTTCCAAAACATGTTTTTTATTTTACCCTGATTTACTGTGGGTAATTTCATAAGTGCATCACTCGCCCATCTCGTCATATCCGTAAATAGAAGGATCCGTAAAAAGTTAGTCCCCCTACTTCTACACGTTTGTAAGCGGCAGAGGTTAATTGTCACAACGTGCGAAAAAAAGGTTGACGTGGAGCCGCTGAATCTCAAACCTCAGAGGATTCACCCCTTTAAAAACACTGAACAGAGGAGATTCACTAGCAAAAAGAGAAAGCGACAGAGATCGCAATAAAACAAGAATCAACATTGGCTTGGCTTTTTGGAGAGGGTGAGACCTGAGGGATGATGGTTTTATTACTCAACAGGTGTGTGTAATATGTAGCTCTCTAAGAGGGTTCTTTTTAAAGCATTATCTATTGTGAAGGGTCATTTCATTATGGTGTAGCACTGCGCTGAATGCATTTTCAAGGAAGTACAGTGTCTATTAATGGCTATAGCTACAGTAACATTTGGATCTTTAGTCAGCTTGAGATCCATTTTCATCGAAATTGGTTAAATCTATTAAGCCTAGTAGTGAATGTTTTAAGAGCTGTAGGAAAACCATATTATATAGCTGAAGTACAACCAAAACAATGTTCTTCCGCAAAATGCAATTTTGTTTTTTAACCACTAAAGGGCCAAAGTTACATCGTTTATAAATGAGCCAATCAATGTTAAAGCACTAGAACTTGCGATGGTTTGAGATCTGACCTCATCTCCCTCCTGGGTCTCAGTGGTCGGCCCATTGTGGGACTCTTGAAAGAGGATCTTCTTCATCTTCCGATACTGCAGGTTGTCCAGCTCTCGGACTGCATCTTTTGTCCGCAAAATTAAATCCATCAGAACAGATTCTGGCCTCTCTCGCAGGACGAATGCATGCTGTTGTATTTGCAAAGAGTGCAGAAAATAAGGCAGTTAACTTAGTATTTAAATGGATTATTAAGACTAACAAACAAAAAGGTTATTTAAAAGTCATGATAATAATTCAATGCAAAGTGAACACCTGCAACAGGTCCTCAGAGTGTGGTCGGTCTTGAGGGATTTTCTGAAGGCAAGAGTCAACAAAATTTCTAAAATAATCCGTCCTGAGGAAAGAGAATAACACAGCAGGTTAATCGACTCGCTAATGCAGAAATCGCTCGATATTTTTAAATAAAGTAAATTAAAACTGTTCCTCATTTAAAGCGATCAAGTCTCTTCAGAAAATGTGGACTAAGCCGCTCAATTCATATGGATTAGTTTTACATTCTCTTTATAAACTTTTTGAAGCATAAAAGTGGTAGTTGCCTAGCTGTCAATGGAGAGTTTAGATTTTATAAAAAAAATCTCTTTATTTGTGTTTCAAAGATAAATGAAAGTCTTACATGTTTGGAACATAAGGGTAATTAATGATAGAATTTTCATTTTTGGGTGAACTAACCCTTTAAATCAGAAACTTAATTAAAAAATAAAATAAAAATATTAAAAAATAAATAAATAATAATAATTCACCCCAATATTTAATTTACTACCTAGCCTTAATGTAATAAATAAATAAAATAAGATTAAACATAAATAAGAATAATGGTTTTGAACAAATAAATAAATCTACTAGTAGTAGATCTACTCTATAAATGCTGTTGTTAGATTTATTTATTTCAATATATTTATTTATCATACCATAGCCAGTAGAACAAAAGGGAAATAATTTAAAGAAAAGAAAACAAATAATTTTCAAACTATATTATATGCATATTTGTAATATACAATTTTACACCGTATAAATTGGTTCTCTGGATATGAAACAATATTGCTGCCTTTTAAATTTTAGGATGTTGGTCTCATTTAAGAAAGATCATATTTGGGGTCTCTGTGGCATCTAAAAGCCCAACTATAGGTGACTTAAGACAACACTACAGTTTAATGTTTGAATTTATCATCACTAAATAAGAAATTGATTAAAATATATATTTTTTTTTTTAAAAGAGTAAATTGATATGAATAACTAATACATCCAACAGTACAGTACAGTAGTATGTTTTAGGAAGTGACTGATCATATTTGGGGGTCATCTAAAAGATTGAAGACCTGAGTTAGACGACTCACCATTCACTTGACTGCAGTGTGGGACTCTCATTCTGCGCTATATGGTATAAGGCACTCATCGCATTCATGTTAAACAGAGGAGGCTTCCTTTCAGCTACAGCAAAAGGGAGAGGAAAAAGTAAGCGCGACTTTTACACTGTGAAAGATGCACAATTCAATTTACGATGAGCAGCACTTCTTCGTCACCTAGTTCTATGCAGGTGATCCCAAGAGACCAGATGTCAACCTTTCCATCATACTGTCCCTCGTCCATGGCTAAAATCACTTCAGGGGCCATCCTGAGAGGAGACGGGTGTGTTAGTGACCAGACGATGTCAATGGAGTCATTATTATTAAAGGAGTAGTTCGACTTTTTAACTTTTGCTGATAATTTATTCACCCCCATGTCATCCAAGATGACCATGTCATTCTTTCTTCAGTCAAAATAATTTAGGTTTTTGATTAAAACGTTCCAGGATTTTGTCAACCAGATGACCTCGAACCGTTTGGTTCCCATTGAAGTCCATTATATGGAGAAAAATGCTGGAATGTTTTCATCAAAAACCTTCATTTGTTTTCAACTGAAGAAAGAAAGACACAGACATCTTGGATGACAAGGGGGTGAATAAATTATCAGCAAGTTGTTGTTTTTTTTTAAAGTGAACAACTCCTTTAAAGATCCTCAGTGTGCTCACCAATATGGTGTCCCTACAAAAGAGTTGGCTGGAGAGGCGATGGAGGCAGAGCCAAAATCTGCCAGTTTGACTTGTCCAGGCTCGGTCAGTAGGATGTTCCCAGCTTTGATATCCCTGAGTTAAGACGACAATATACACAGAATAAACAACGTTTTCTTTCTTACCCACAGTGTGAAGACTTCCCACATTTCAAAATCCAATCAACAAACCCTTGGATAGAAGTAAGTCCCTGTCCTACAGTTTTTTTTCTTTTTCCATAATCAGTAATACTCGGATGTACCTCACAAAAAAAAGATCCATGACTACTTATGTTTCATTGTAACTTTATTTGTGAGACCATAAGAACCATACATTTGGGAACCAGACTATAGTGATCTGTATGTTTATCGTCCCTTGCATTGAATTCAATGCAGACTTGCTAAAACAATTTAATTAGAGACTGCACTGTGTCGCAACTGAATAAATGTGCAGGAAACCCTCTCAGAGTATTCCAACTAGGTTTCCTGTCTTCAGAGCAAGAATGCAAAATCTATTAGCGGAACCAATGTCATGAAACTCATTTGGAAAAAGAAAAAGAAAAACCCACAGACCTGTGAATCATGTTATGGGAATGAAGGTATGCAAGGCCCTGCAAAGCACCATGTGTAATTGCTGCAATCTCAATTTCCTGAAGGGGCTTCTTGTGAACTAAAAAAAAAAAAAAAAAAAAAAGTAAAGTTGCATGTTAATCAAAGTGACAATGATTTACATTACATTAATGCATTTGACAGACCTTTTATCCAAAGTGATGTACACTGCAAGATATACAGTAAATTGTCAGTTTATGCGTTAACTATTATTATTATTAGGCCTACTTGAAGTATGCTCTGTGAAATAGTAATACATTTCTGTTGCATTTTCTTCAAGTTAAACAAAACTTTTATTTTGATAGGCTGTCATGAAGACTCTTCAGATACAATGTGATTTGCGCTGTGTGCACAATGCCAGAGCAAAATAGGCAGAGACGCTAAAATTACTACTTACGCTTTTTTTTTAATAAGACTTACCATGTTGCCATGGTTTCTACGGCACCCAAAGCGGAAGCCGAGGATGACGGCATTGAGGAGGTACGTTACACTGGTTAAAATTGCATATTTCTCTGGATTTAAACGTTGTTTGTACGTTTGTGATGTACATTATAATGTTAGTACACAAGTGAATAAAATACATGACACTTTGCAAGTGCTTTTGGATATTTGAATGCAAAAAATCTTATATACGGTATGTGCCTTTAAAGCTTTGATTTGATCATAACTCATTTTTGAAGAAATAAACAAAAATAAATAAACACCCATATTTTGGATGAAATACTGATCATGCTTCCACATGTTTGGCATCTCACCTTCAAGGAGGTCCGAGGCTGAGCCCAAACAGTACTCCATGGCAAGCTGAAAAGGGATGAGACAATGAATAGTGTGCTTATGCACTCATTAACATGTCATCCCAAAGAGTGATAGTGAGAATGAGTGATTCAGAAGAGCAAAAGAAAGATCTTACCCATGCTGTGTGTTCCCGCAAGTAGCATCCTTTATACTCTATGCTGTTTGGGTGTTGTATTCTCTGGAGGAACTTGACTTCCTTAATGATATCCTGCCATTTCTAAGTAAAGAGAAGAAAGCATCAAGTCAAACGGCCTTCTTTCAAATTGGCCGGAAAAGCATACAGCGTATTCCCGTTTTCCACTGGATCACTGTATCCACTACTGACAAGAGCAGACTGGACGTATCGATTTACTAGTACAGGTCCTGAAAAAGAAAGTCAGTCCTAAAAGCTTCTGAAGGATTCCTTGCAGAGATTATGTGTAATCCGATTACTGCTAATCTGAAATTACAAAGGAAATGCTGCCACCAGCTAAAGCATGAATGGCATTGGTGCTTCACTTCAATCTGAGGTGTTACAGGAGATTTAATTTGACTTCAGCAATTGACTTTAATTTGCTCGTATGATACTGAGCCAAGTCATAGTTGTTTGCGAGTATGAAACAAAGAGACTGAAATATATATTAGTTTGGAATGATAATAAAAAGATTGCATGTTTTTCATACAATTGTCTTTCACCAAGGCAGCATTTGATCAGATACTGTGAAATATCATTACAATTTAAAATAGCTTTTTTTTTCTATTTTAATACGTTTTAAATTGTAATTTATTTCAGTGACAACCACAATTCAAGTCACAAGATCCGTAAGAAATCATTGTAATGCTGATATGGTGGTCAAGTTATTAATAATTGAGTACAATTCATACTTGTTATTATCAATGCTGAAAACAGTTTTTGCTGGTTAATATTTTTTGTGAAAAACATGCTTTTCTGAATCTAAATATATTTGAAATGAAAATATTTTGAATCTGTGTATATTTCATTCAGTCGTTTTTTTGATTTAATATTGAAAGCAGAAAAATTAGAAAACCGTTCCTTTTTCGTATTTTCATTTTTTCCATGAAACGAAAAACAAGACTTCAGCTTGATAGAAAAAAGGTAGAAAAATGATTAAACAGCTTGAATATTCAATTTCTACACGCGGCGGGAATGAAACGCCCCTTTCCTCTGATTTGTCAGCCGAAGATCAAACTGTGTCGTCATCAGTTCATACTCAGTTCACACAGCAGAATAAGAGTCCTCCATTTCCTTTTGATCAAATAAAAGTTTGATTTATTTCTTTGCTTTTTTATATCCTACTTGCCCTAAACTCTTGAATGGTATGGTTTCCACAAAAACGTTAAGCAGAAAAAACTGTTTTTAACATTGATAATAATAATAAACGTTTCTTGAGCACCAAATCAGCATATTCGATTGATTTTTGAAGGATCACGTGACTCTAAAGACTTCAAAAATTCAGCTTTGCATCACAGGAATAAATGACATTTTATATTAAATAGAAAAAAAATATTTTCAATAGTAATATAACTGTATTTTTCCATCAAATAAATGGTGAGCATCAAAAGCTTCTTTCAAAAACATGAAAAACGTCTTGGAAGTGTAATGCACTAATTTCCATCACTGTGCGCACCCTCAAAAGGAAAAGCTGAATCCACAACCAAACTGTTGCATGACTATGCAATGACTCTGGAATGTAGGAAAACTGACCTCATTAGACTGTTTCCCACTGTAGGACATCTTCTTGATGGCCACCACCTCTGAAGTCCGCACATCCCGTGCCTGAGCGAGATACACATCTGATATTTCACAACTTAATCTCCCAAACATTTCATAATGTACTGTAGTGTGCATTAACATGCCAAATCCTATTGAATAGATAAAACATACAAAGTAGACCGCGCCAAAACTGCCATGACCGATCTCACGGAGGTCTGTGAAGAGCTTCTCGGGGTCCTCCTTGAAGAAGAGATCTGAGATCTCGGGGTCCTTCAGACTCCCTGCCCTGCTGGTGGAGGGCATGCTGCGAGCCGGGGCCGCGCTCGCAGGGGACTATCTGGCCGCCAGGCCCCGCTGGTTACTCATCTGCCAGAGGGAGGCAGTGTACGCATAGAGACCTGCAGGTAAACAAATATAAATCAACATATGTAATAAGAGTTCACACTATTTTAGGCAAAATAAAAAACAATCATAATAAAACCATTCAGCGTTTTAATCAAATTCTTCATTTCTTTTTAGTTGTATCCTGTTGAATCACACCCAAAATAGAAGACCGGGTGTCTAACACCCCATCGTTTTTTACAGAATCTATTTAATTGCTTTATATAACAAACAGATTTTAATTTAGATTTATATTCACATATAAACAGGGTTCCTACACATTTTCCATTTTAAAATTCCTTACTCTTCCAAACCATTTTTCAAATAAATGGTTCACACAGATTATTTTCGATGAATAGTACAGTCATCTGTATATATAAATTGAATACTCTCTCTGTTTTTCATTGGTTCTCGAAGTGATGAGATGCTTGCACGATGAGAAGAAAACTATAAAGCTTTATATCAGATTCATAATAGACCCTTATTCATCGTCTGGTGTCGTTTAAAGCCCTTTGAAGCTGCACTGAAACTCTCATTTGGACCTTGAACCGTTTGGTTCCCAATGAAGTCCATTATATGGAGAAAATCCAGGAATGTTTTCATCAAAAACCTTAATTTCTTTTCAACTGAAGAAAGAAAGACGTGGACATCTTGGATGTCATGGGGGTGAGTCAATTATCAGCAAAAGTGTTTTTAAAAGTGAACTACACCTTTATACATTTTAGCCACAAATTTCCTTAGAAAGAAAGAAATGTCCATCAATGGCGGGAAGCGTCATCTTAGAAATGACAGAAATTTCCGTCAATGGTGGGGAAAGAGATAATGTCATATCATATGACATGTGTATTTACTTTCGTACACTCGTACAAAAGCGGTCACTTGGGCAGTACCTTTTCAAAAGGTACACTTTTAATAGCAAAAAGGTGCATATTTATAACTCAAAGTTACATTTCAATAACTGTCCTAACGTGTACTAATACCTAAAAGTAACAAAAGTGTACTTTTTGGAAAGGTACTGCCCCAGGGACAGCTTTTGTAACCTTGTAAGCTTTTCACACTTGAAATACCGTAGTTATCTTTATACACCTTTTCACACAGCTCATACTACACCCGGGGTTAACAGTTAATCCCATGTATTCATAAATTGCCAGTTCACACTGCACATTCCTAAACCCTGGGTTAAAGTCCTGACTGGTACTCACTGGACAAATGCAGCATGTGATCCGTTTACATAAAGGCTCTAGCATTGCGCGTCCTAATTACACATTGCAGACCGTAATATCAAGTTTTTTCTGAGTGAACTTTTCGAACTATAAAAGGTAAGAACGATGGTCTCTTCTTCACTGTGTCATCTTTTTATTGTTCTTTTGCGCATGCGGGTCAGTCCAGGACAATGATCTGTTCACACTGGAATCTGCGTGAACAGTAATACAAAAATCAGATCTGAGCAATAAATCAGAAATGAGCACTAAGGCTTGCAGCGTGAACGTGGCCTAAATGGAGGCAGGTGTGTCAGAGATGAGGAAGCGCAGCTGGTGTCCACGTATCGATACTGTGGAAAATGAATATCAGAACCGTTTCAAATATTTCATGATTGATACATTTTGGAAAATCTATATTTTTGACAACACTAGATACCTGCACAGATCTTTATTTTCCTTTTACAAATCTGTAGGTTGAGCAGCAAATACAAGATAAGCCAGTTGAGCTTCTGTGGATTTGTTAAATAGGAACAACAAGACCATGAGGCCACAGTACGGGTCTTATCTTCAGATACTAATTCCAAACAATGACCTGTGACCTGACCTTTGTTTACAGGCCTTTGTATACAGTAATGACGATAGCCGGCGTGCTCCCAGCTTTCACATTGACCTGCTCTACTGCATTCTTATCATCTCTGTCTTCAGGCTCATACAGGTTTAGAGGGATTTGAAGCTATGTGTTGAATAACAGTCAAACTCTGTGCATATTCATGAACCATTAGAGCTGATTAACTTGATAAATGAAAGACCAATTGTGGGTATGTTATTTCCATTGACTTGCGAGCCGAAGCGATGACATAACTGACTACATTCCAACATAACACTTTGTTTATGAGTCTTTATGCCATGACTTGCTGCTTTTTATGCAACCATCAGACATAAAACTCAGTACTGAATTTATCAATAAATTGGCTAGAGTAGCTGCCTAGCATGTCATATCACTGCAAATCATATTTCTACTTAAAGGCGCTTTGTTAAAGGGTTAGTTCACCCAAAAATGAAAATTCTGTCAGTATTTACTCACCCTCATGTTGTTCCAACCCCGTAAGACCTTCGTTCATCTTCGGAACACAAATTCAGATATTTAAGATATTAAGATCGCTCCTGCATACAGTCCATAGGCTTCTTGAGGGACTGGCTCTTGCTGTCCTCGAAAAGTTATTAAAGACATCGTCAAAACAGTCCAAGTGACTACAGGGGCTCAATCTTAAGTTTATCAAACGACGAGAACACTTTTGTGCGCAAAAAAACAACAAAAATAACGACTTTTTCAACTATTCGTTTATTTCTCCCTCTGCGCGAGTCAGGTTACTAGTTTAATAGCGTAAGCTTCTGTTATTGTACGTCACACGCATCACACACATGACCAGCGTCGGCCAATAGTGAGCCTACGTGTGACGTAGCTCTACGCAATCACACTACGTTAACTGACTTACAGGCTCATGGAGAAGGAAGTGAATAGTTGAAATAAAGTCGTTATTTTTGTTGTTTTTTTGCGCACAAAAGTGTTCTCGTCGTTTGATAAACTTAAGATTGAGCCCCTGTAGTCACTTGGACTATTTTAACGATGTCTTTAATGACTTTTCGGGGACAGCAAGAGCCAGTCCCTCAAGAAGCCTATGGACTGTATGCAGGAGCGATCTTAATATCTTAAATATCTTAATTTGTGTTCCGAAGATGAACGAAGGTCTTACGGGGTTGAAACAACATGAGGGTGAGTAAATACTGACAGAATTTTCATTTTTGGGTGAACTAACCCTTTAATTATGAAGAGAATATGTTTTTTTGCGTCAGTTGTCGTCAAGTTATACTCCTGAAAAATTGTCAAGTGCAGAACCTTTTATTTTGGCTGGAAATGTGTGGAAAGATACCTCTTATGTAGTTGCTCAAAGCAAACATATTCCAAAAAGTCCATTGTGCGGTCAGTTAAGACCACTGGCTTTTTCACTATCCTTTATCACTCCTGCAGTGACTGCATTAGTCAGAGCATCTGTGGGTAAACAACAGATTTAGCCCTTCAAAAAGTATTCCTTAGACATGTGATAACAGAGAAGGGAAGCTCGAGTCACAAGACTACTAAATGCTTAATGCTCTGACAGGTTGGGATTTATTATCTTTCTTCTTTAGAGATGTGCATTTGTAGTTTTTTTTTGAAGACGGTATTAGAAGCAATTCCTAGAGAACTCGTTTTATAATGCCAATTCGCTGCTTTTATGATTAACCACTGCATATACTGCAGCTTCTTGCACACTACACAGTGCTGAAGTTACAAGTAGCTCAACCTGAGGCTGATCGATTATGGCAAATGAGCAACATCCATGAAGATGCAGCACTTCTGGCAGGCAGTTCTGTCAACTGGCCCAGTTGTCTTTCACGCTGGACCCAGGCAAATTCTATAAGAAGAAAGGAACTAGTAATTACAAAATAATTGGGCATATAAGTACAATAGAACGAGCATGCACCTTGAAGTACTTTTTTGAGTACCGTCAGTGAGAGACGGGACATATATGTTGGGCGGGGGGCTCGTTTTGTGTCTTAGGCCATCAATGTGTCCTTGCATTTACGAGTCATTAAATCATGTTTAATTTGGACTTCTCTGTGCATGCTCTTTGAGGTGGTGACCATAGACCTGCATTATCTGCGTTCATGACATCAAGGCTAGATTATTGTAATGCTCTACTGGGAGGTTGCCCTGCACGCTTAATAAACAAAACTTCAGCTAGTCCAAAACGCAGCCTCTCGAGTTCTTACCAGAACCAGGAAGTATGACCATATTAGCCCGGTTCTGTCAACCCTGCATTGGCTGCGGTTGACGGCTATTAAAGTCCCTGTAAAGGCAATTCTACAAAAAAGTTCTAAACACATTATAAATGTTAAGTATGTATTGCTAAAACATATTACAAAGACTGTGAACTGTGAAGTACTGAAATGTGCAGTTAAACCGTTAAACAGTTTTTCACCATTGCAATTTTACGGATTCTTTGGGCGGGGCTAAAACAGGGCTTGATGGCGCACTGGAGCCCATGAGCTCCTGGACACACCCCTATCTGATGACGCACAGAGTCTGATGTCTCCCCTTACACATAATAACACTCCCCGAGCACATTCGCATTCACCTTCACCGCTCAATCGCGAGTGACTGTCAGTACTATTAGTTAATAAAACTGAGCCTACAATTTTCTATCTTAGCGATGGCTTCAACACAGAAATGCATAGGCCTGAATACCTGAATGCAATCATGTACAAAACAGATCGGTATCTTTATTTAAATTCCCTAAAAACGATCACATCAAGAAGAGGTTTTTAGAGAGCTAACTTTGATGAAGAGCTGAGGATCACCGCGAACACCCGCCTCTGTAGTGATCATTTTACACGGGATAGTTTTATAAACTTTCCTCAGAGACAACTGGGATTCACTGATAACCCGCTGTTACTGGTGAACGGGGCTGAAATGACTATCTCCCGCCTCAGTGTTCATCCTCCCGTCGCGAAAGCAGTATCAGCTAATATCACCGCCGACAGCTTTCCCGCGAGTGGGCGTGGTTTCCACACAGCTTGCGGACACACCCCCAGCGTTTGAGAACAGAGATAACTGCTCATTTTTTCATGATATGGGCTATATGCACGCATAAGTTCCGCATTTGACGTAAGGATGCTCGTCCATTTCCGGTTGTGTAGATTAAAGCGGAGGAAAACCGGAGAAAACGGGATTATGGCAGAGTCTTCAATATACTGTCCTCCCGTCTTTGAAACGA